TAGATGCAGAAGACATCCTTCGTGTACAAGGAAGAGCAGATCGCCTGAATCCAAAAAAAAACGCCATCGTATTGCCAAAAGAGTGCAGAGTCGCCTTTTTAGTTGCAAAGTACTACAACGAAAAATCTCACCACATGCTCCACGAGTCAACTATCAACCTAATTCGAAGCACATTTTATATACCACGTCTACGAGTATTGTACAAAACTGTGCGTAAGGAATGTCAAAAATGCAAAATCGCCAATTCGACACCAAAGGTACCCCAAATGGCACCTGTACAAGCTGCCAGACTGGCTTGTTTCGAAAGACCATTTACATATACGGGTGTCGATTATTTCGGCCCCATATTAGTGAACGTTGGAAGGCACAAGGAAAAGCGTTGGGGAGTCCTATTTACATGCCTCACATTAAGAGCAGTATCTTTAGAAGTGACATTCAAGCTTGACGTAAGCTCTTGTATAATGTGCCTGAAGAACTTCATGGCCCTCCGTGGAACTCCAAAAGAAATCTTCTCCGACAATGGGACCAACTTCAAATCCACTGAAAAGATCGTAAAGGAGGAACTTAAGCAAATCGACTTTGATGAAATCACCATCCGCTACGAAGCTATTAAATGGCGCTTCAACCCACCAGCTGCACCCCACATGGGCGGAGCGTGGGAACGACTAGTTAGATCTGTGAAGACTCCTAAAATCGATCTGGCCATCAAATAATTTTAATGACGAGACCCTCCGAGCCGCTCTAATGGAAGCTGAACCCATTATTAACTCCAGACCACTAACCTTTGTCTCCCTAGATTCAGCAGACGATGATGCCCTTACTCCAAATCACCTGCTTCTGGGATCACCAAATGGCTACAAACCAATGGCAGAAGACAACACTGATCAAGGTTGCGCTGGCATCCATCGCAACTTTTCGCTGATAAATTCTGGAAGCGTTGGGTAAAGGACTACACACCAACTCTGACTAGACGCAGCAAGTGGTTAACCAAACGCCCACCAGTAGCTATAGGAGACATAGGAAAGGAATGTTGCCGACGAAATTTAAATTTAAACCATAACAGCCACGTAGGCGCATACGGCAACGCTACCATTCATAAGCACCACCATTCGGCAACTCTAAAACAGAGACAATTGAGGATAAACCAGCGAAGCAAGAACACAACGTTTTTTAAAGCTCTCTCTTATTATTATTATTAAACTCACATAATAAATTGGAATGCTATAGAAATTTGCTTACCCTTTATCGCTTCGAAATATTCAACGCCAGTGCCTCAACAGTGTGTATTGTGTATTCTTTAAAAAAAAACTACAGCATAAAAAAAAACCATAATTCGTTAAAAATTTTTAAACCCCGAAATCTATAAGAATCTAAATTTTGGGCCACAGCCTAATTCTAGTGTTGACTAGTGTTATCAGAGGAACGCCATATACCGAAAAATTATAAATATACTTAATAAACTATTAAAAATAAATATACTGCTAAAAATATATCAAATAAAAAAAATATTCACAAAAAAACATATTAATTTTGATAAATAACACTTAAAATAAAAAATTAAATAAAATTGTCCGGAGCAGCCGCTGGCAACAAGCTCTTTGTGGCAGCTGTCGCTCTTAAATCTAATGCACGCTCGCTCTTATCATCAAACTCTTGAGAGCGGGACAAGTATTAGATTAGAATACTCCAACGACCCTTGCAAAATAAATATACTCGTTTGTTCAATAACCCTTCGCCACGAACACATGGCTTGAGTTTGTCGCTATCGTAATTTTCGAAGAATAAAGCCAAGTTTAACGAATTCGCGTTCTTGCTCATTTGCGGAATATATTCATGCGGTCGAAAAAACCCTACAGCTCACAAAAAAATAAATAATAAAAAATATGAAAAATAGATAAATAAATAAGTGTTAAAATAATAATATTTATAAAAATTTGTAATAGTATAAGTAAATCATATTCAGGGATGCCACAGAAATCACTAGTGAAATGGAAAACCGCGCAGAGGATTACCGCTTAAAAATTTCCGCCGTGCCACAGAATGCCGAGCGATTTCATTATACCCGTACTCAAAAAAGAGTTAAGGGGTATATTAGATTTGTGGTAAAAGTGGATGTGTGCAACGCAGAGAAGGAAACGTTTCCGACCCCATAAAGTATATATATTCTTGATCAGCATCAATAGCCGAGTCTATATAGCCATGTCCGTCTGTCCGTCTTGATGAGCGCCTGGATCTCAGAGACTATAAGAGCTAGAGAAACTAAATTTGGTTTCCAGACTCATGTGATATCACACTGCTACAAGTGTATTTCAAAATTTCGCCCCGCCCCCTTCCGCCCACACAAAGGACGAAAATCTGTGGCAGGCACAGTTTTAAAGATACGATAAAACTAAAAACGCAGTATCGTAGAAAATGCCCATATCTACCAGATTGCCGAATCTGAATCAGATCGGATCATAATTATAGCCAGAATGAAGAAATTAATTTTCAGTTGCTTCCGGCGACAACGCATCTCATTTTCCTTCTCGCTTGCACATTCTGCCGCGTTCAGTGCGCGAGCAACCCCTAGCGGAGGAGATGTAGAATCTAATTGGAACATGTAAAATCTACATGTTAGATGTAGAATATACATTGTATATGTAGATGTAGATATCATATGTAGCAAAAAAATGTAAAATGTAAAATTTTTTTTTTTTCTAAAATTCTTAAAAATCATAAGCTCAAAAATGTATATACTGACTGAGTACGGGTATAAGTAGAGTCGCGTCCCCAGAAGCGACTCACACGTTCCTTCTCGTTTTTCTTATCCTTGTCACAAACCAAATTCGAACTAAGGATACGGTTGACACCTCTCAAGATTCAATTCGAATAGGATTCATTTTGCAGTTTTATTGATTTTATCATATCAAAACAACTGGTTTTTATTTTTTTCTCTTATGATATAAAATAATTGATTTTTCAAAGCTGTACTTTTATAATTTCAAAGCAAAAAAACATCCCATATCGTGTGAGTCAAACAAAACAATGTACTCGGCAACTCTAGCAATTGTCTGGCAACTCTGCACGCATGGCAGCAATCAGCTGTTCAAAAAAAACACACATCTGAATTTTACGGTAAACTTAATTAAAATGCTTTTACCGAGACTGTTGGCCTTCGAAGAACTACGGAGGCAACATATTAGAATAAAAACCTTGCAGCGCAGGCTTCTCAGATGCGCATCGAAGCAGATTCCAGCGTTCTACAAATTTCTTGTAGAGGAACCCCGGACAGGCTCTTTTAAGGGGTTTTTGACACAAATGCAATGGCAATAATGTGTAGAAACGGTTTGTTAGTTCTGTTTTGGCATTTTGAAGCGATGCCACCTGGTAAAACTAAAAATGACTACAAATGTTTTCACAATTTGCACAAAAAGTATGCACACGTTTAACGTTAGGGAAGTTTTACTGCAATGAGCTATTTTTTGTAATGCTTAATTAAAGAAAAACAGAATGCTTTCAATATAATTTATATTAAATATCTTGCTCCGAATTTGGCTTAAAAGAGGTGGCCTTACTGTATTAACTTCGAAAGTCCGAATCGCCCTAGGTGACCACCTCGGACTGCAGCGGCTTGAGCGCGGAATCTTTAAGTGAAAATTCAGTCAGCGGATTGGATAGTGATTTACTAAAATGCTTATTTTATTAACATAACATGTATAATGTTAAATTATTTGGATGAGGGTTAATCACCAATTGAACAAACTTTATGGGAAAGTAAGATTCGAATCGTTTTAGGTGTGTTTTATGGGTGTATTTAATCAAATCGATGGATAAATTGTGAGCGATTTTGAGTCCGCTGAAAAATTGGTGTGGCACCACGGAATGGAATTGAGGTGATTTTCCAGCGGAAGTGATTTTTGTGGTAATCTGTGTTTCTGTGTTTGAAAAATAACTATGTGAACCCTTTGTGTCTAACGCATCAACATAAAGTAGCAATACGGTAGCGTTAGGAACATTTGTACATATGAAATCAACAAAAACTAAAACGAAACGCGTTCAGAGAAGAGTCATAGGCGACAGAACTGAAATCCCACGCGCTCCCTCTGTCTATAGGGCGTAAGTGCAAGTGAGCACATTAATGCTTAGCTGAGATGAAAGCTCGCCCATCTATCAAGCATGTTTGTTTTTATCAGTAAACTGCAAACCGCTTTCAGCTAGTGAGTGCTCGAGCCCTTAGAAGATGACTGTTCAAAAATAAGATATAAACACACTTTTAAAGCTCGTTGTCGCATTGTCAGGTTCCAAACATTTCGGACCACCCTCGTATATGCCGGTACTTTGTCAGGTCGGAAACATTTCGTGCAGCTGTCTAATTGATTGAGTTTAGGGATCTATTAGTTTTATGAAGGATGTACATATGTAACGTCCAGAAGGAAGCGTTTCCGGACCCATTAAGTATGTTTGTCTCTGTCCTGTTTGTCGCCTTGATCTCAGAGACTTTAATAGCTACAGCAAACAAAATTTTATGTGGCAGGCTCCTGTGATATCACACCGAATCAAGTTTTTTTCAAACATGCCACGCCGCCCACACAAAGGCCAAAGATCTGTGGCCTCCCCAATTTGTAAGACACCAGGATAACCAAAAACGCAAAATCATATCTACTCGATTTTTTGAATTCGTCACTTTGGCGAACAGCGATACCAAAAGACAGAGAGATAGAGAGAGCATGCGGCAGTCCTCAGCTCCTATACCAATTCCGGCGCTTACGTATAATATGATATTTTTATGTTACATATGTAAGTCATAAGGTCATAACATATACATATACTGACGGAGTATCGGGTATAAACAAGTTTCTCTCAGTTTTAGATAAATTTTAACCGCTATGAACCCCTTTTTTAGTACACATTCCAACCAAACTCTAAAATTTGCAGTCTTTTTATTTTAAATTCAATCATAAAGTGAAATACGTAAAAGAAAAACAACAAAATCTAATTTAAAATGATTTCGCATTTATAGATGGATTAAATTTATAATTTATTTATAATCCGAATCGAACTAATAATACAAAAACTAATACCACTTGGCAGCGAAAGAATTTTTGTGGAGTTATCAAGTTATAAAATCAACAAAGATGGCTTTAACACATATATTGAGTTTTTCGTATGACACCAAAATGTAAATTTATTATAATCAAAATACAGTATTTACTCTAATTTATCTCAAATTTTTTTTACTTTTCAGAGACCCTTACGGTATTTTTCTCCAACAGTAAAATCAGTCATGCCTTTTCCTGCCGTTCCACATGTACCGATTCCAACTCTACCACTTACATTGTCCGGTGATGCAAATATGCTCTTTACTTTCATTCCTGGCTTTTTTTGATTTTTAGTGGTAAAGTGAATCCATTTATTTTTATCAGACTCACGCTCTTCTTCCAAGTCCTTAAAGCGCTGTTGTTTCTTTTGTTTTCTTTTTTTTAAATATTCTTTTTGATTTGGCCTGTGACGTCTGTAAAATTAATTTATATTAAAAGATAATACTAATTACAGTTACCGTATTTTTTACTTGGTTGACGGAAAAACTTCGTTACGTGTATTACGTTCACGCAATTCGCTCACAGTAGTTGTGGAACGATTTTGATAGGCATCAAATATAACACTGGCTTCGCCTTCGCTAGTTATACCCTCTATAGTTGCATCGTAGTATTGTCGATCTTCCTTCCATTTAGCTTGGCATTTGTCACCAATCTTCCATACTTTAGCAGCAGTGACTAATTTTTCCGCTTCCAAAAGAGCAGCTTCGATTTCATCAAAATAGTTTGAGGACGCTGTTTTAGATGACGAGGGCTCTACATACGAAGACTTTTGCTGTTCTTCTAAATGTGTTTTAATCAAATCACGTGTTAATGTAATGACCTCCTCTAAATCACTTTTTAGTTTCAAAAGTTCTTCATTATTTGGATCTGTTTGCAGCGCTGCTTCTACCTACAAAGCCCAAGAAAAAGTAAAATATATAAATAAATAATATTTATCAGTATAAACCAATGGCCGGCACGTACACATTCATATGTTCGTAATTGCGTTTGTGGGCATAGACAGCATGCTGTCTACCAGAAAAACAGAACATTGTATTGGTGTCAACCACTGTAATACAAGTGTACGTGTGCGGTAGCACAGCAGCGCCTTTTCCTATGAACAATAGATAGGGCCGTGCCGAGCTCTGACATACAGGGGTGCCACAGAAATCACTAGTGAAATGGGAAACCGCGCAGAGGATTTCCGCTTCAAAATTTCCGCCGTGCCACACAATTCCGAGCGATTTCAAGATTAAATTCGAATAGAGTTCATTTTGCACTTTTATTGATTTTATCATATCAAAACAATAGGTTTGTATTTTTTTCTTTTATGATATAAAATAATTAATTTAATAATAATGGTTCGGTGTCTCTGCGTATATCAGTTTGATTGTTGTTCCCGAATGGCGTAGATCCGTTGACACTCCGCTGTTTGTGACGAGACATGGCTAGAGCCATGGTTCGTTACAAATTGAACAACCTTTATGGGAAAGTAAGATTCGAATCGTTTTAGGTGTGTTATATGGGTGTATTTTATCAAATCGCTGCGTAAATTGTGAGCGATTTTGATTCCGTTGAAAAATCGGTGTGTGGCACGGCGGAATGGAATTGAGGTGATTTTCCAGCGGAAGTGATTTCTGTGGCACCCCTGATACATACATATGTATGAACTGATCTATTTCTAAGCTTATCGTAAAGCTTATCTTAAGTCAAAGCTTAGTTGCATTGATGCATAATTTGATTTAATCGTTCTTATCGCTTTGTACACATGGGTCGCAAGCGTAATTGTGTTTCGCGTAATTTTTTTACTTTTCATGCGAAAATATTTCCGAGTGAAAAATTTGTAAACCCACTTTCAAAGGAAAATATGTCTCCAATCTCAAGCGGCATTTGGTTGAGCATCACAAAAAATAATATACGAACGAGTTGGCGGAATAAAAGACTGAAGTTCCAGAAAAGAAAATTAAGTTTACAGTGACAATGCGTCAAAGTGCAGTCAAGGATGCATGTGTTGATCTTGTGACCTCGCAAAAAATGTCCTTTTCTGTATTGAAGACAGCTTTAAAATTCTTACAGCACAGATTTTTAATGGCCTGCAAATGCCAGTTGTGATATCAAGGAATGTAATTAGCTCGGTAGATGACAAGTACTATAAAATAAAATCAGAAATCGTTGCATCCTTGACAGACAGAATGGTATGCCTAGGCATAAGTGTCCAATATTATAATGGCAGTCAAATTTGTGACGACTGTTGGACTTATTGAGCTTTAAAAATCACACACTTCTGAAAATTTATTTTGACTGATTTCTATATAAGAGTACTGTTGAGGCAAATCACTCGGCTTCGTTTAAATGTTAAGACCCTAGTAATTGAAATGTACTTGAATTTATGTTAAGGCTCTTGAAATGTTAGATCTAGTCTCTTATACGAACGAAACTTATGCTAGCAGCGGCCACTCATGAAGAGGGCGACGCTGCCAAAATACATTCACTTATATTCTGAAGTCGCACCAGCGTACAAGTTTCTCTGTCGGTCTGTCCGGTTCCGTGTCTACCATCCAACCATATACTCGTGCCTAACGGCAAAAGAATAGTTGTCCATCATTCGGATTTGCACAACCATTTGGCGCCCCCGGGTGGACTCTGGATTTGATACTGGATATAAGTTGGATTGGATCAAACTTGGCGTTTCGTTGGATATCTCCATTGGATATCATCCCTCGCTCGTTGTTGTTGCGGTTCCTGTGTTCTTCATTGGTGACCGCTGGACCCTAACATCGCTGCAAGACCTCTGCTTCTCATTGGTATTCCTGGTTGGTATAAACTTGTGGGAGGGAATGCATGTTTGTTCAAACTACCTACAAGTGCCAGAGGTAAAGTAAAGTGCCCAATATTATATTACGAAAATAATTACGTACTAACGGCCTGTTAACAAAAAAAAACAAGGGTAAACAGAGCATTCGGCCTGTATTTATGTGCGTGCATACATATATTCAAATTTATTTTGTGGTGAAGTGAATTGCGAGTGATCACTGTACTTGTGTTCAACGACACCGCATAGAGGAATAGGCAATAGTTTCGCGCGCAAGTTCTGAGCGCAGCGCATCACTCCCCCTTTGCCCATCACCACAGATTTTCGTTTCTGCTTTGCGCTAACAGTTCTTGAAAAACACTTTCGTTTATGCTGCGCAGCTGCACAGTTCTGTGCTCTCTCTCGTTCTCTCGCTCTTGCACCGGCCAACATAGATTACCATAATCAGCAGAGCCGAGCCCACAAGTTTAATGCTTATTGCTGCTATTTCGTTTCGATCTCTCTATCTCTCGTCGATAAACCGAAGCATAGCCAAACATAGCCATCAGAGCCGAGTGTACAATTTGAGATTGCTCATTTTATGAACTGTTCTCATCGTTCCCATCGTAACATAACCGATCACGTACTTGAGTGATTTCTCGCATCGTCTGTTCTCATCGTTGAATTTAGCATAGCCTAATAAAATGTGAGTGATTTCTGAGTGACATCTAGTGTTTGATAAAAAATAATTATTTAATAGCTTCATATTGCCTGGAAAGCGTCGTGGTGGTTCAAGTTGCATGCTTCTATTATGGAAGAAGACGATTCAGGTAATTTTTTGAGGAAGCTAAACTCGGTAAAAAGAGATATTGACAGAACAGCGAAAGCAATAGAAAGCAAAAAGATCTCGTCTAACCAATTGGAGCTTGAATGTCGTTTAAGTATTTTGGATACATATATAGATCGCGCGTTCTCTTTGCAATTCCAAATTGACTATATTGACCCAGACTTAGCATCGCGATCCGATCTTGAAGAGTTGTGTGTCTCAACTAAAGCGTCATTAATTTCTCTTAAAAGGCCAGATAAGCTTACTTCGTTGGACGAGTCAGCCCTAAACACCACCACCATGTCACATACATGGCATCTGCCCAATATGAAATTGCGCAAGTTTGGTGGGAGCTATTCTCAATTTAAGAATTTCATGGGTTTATTTTCGAGCATTATAGATTGTGACATGCCTTTAAGCAACGTCGAAAAATTCAATCACTTATTGAATTGTTTAGAAAACGAAGCATTAGGTACCGTCAAGGCTTTCCCGGTGACAGATCAGAATTATTCCAAGGCTCTCGAAGCGCTAAAGCAGGTTTATGATAATGAGTGCCTTATTTTCCTTGATGGCGTATCTAGACTCTTTGAGTTACCGGCGATGCAGGCTCCATCGGCAAGCGCTTTACGGTCACTCATCGACACGGCATCTGCCATATAAGAATCGTTACTGTCAGTGGGGGATAACAAGGTTATTGCTCACGCCCTTCTGATACACCTTGTTCTTGCGAAAGTTGACGCGAAGACTCACTCTAGATGGAAGGAAAATTTGGATTATCAAAAGATTCCGTCGTGGACAGCTGATCATTGCATTACAAATTGTTCGTCATTCTCAGGTGTGTCCGTCAAGACTCGATTTAGGTTTGTAAAGGGAATCCCGCTTTGTATAAATTGTTTGCGAAAAGGGCATAATGTCTCAGCCTGCAAGTCTAACCATTTCCGAGTATGCTCTAAGCACCACCACACATTGCTGCACCGCTATAATGTTTACTCGGGCCTAACGCCAACCGCCCGTGAGGCTGTCGGGTCTCAGGGAGCGGTAGCTGCTGAGAGTACGAATCAGTTGTCGTCGAATCATGCTATGGCAGTGGATTCAGATCAGGTAGTTCTGGCCACAGCGATTGTGGACATTAAAGGTGGCTCTTGTCAGCGTCAGCCAGCCAGGGTACTACTGGATTCGGGCTCGCAAGTGAATTTTATTACCGAGGAGCTGGCTCGATTCGTAAAAATATGAACTTATTGGGAATCGGAAAAGGTAGCTTGGCTGTGCACTAAACAACAGTCTCTTCTCGTGTTCATCAATTTGAAATAACCACTGACTTCGTCATTTAAAAATCGATATCTTCGTATCACCCAGAGAAAGCTGTTCCGTCAGGCTCGCTGACAATTCCTAAAGATTTCACACTGGCCGATCCAGGTTTCCAATAACCCCAAAAAGTGGATCTGCTGCTTGGAGCTGACGCCTTCTTTGAAATACTTAAAGACGGCCAATTAAAACTACAAAACGCGCTAAATTTGCAAATTCCGTCTTTGGGTGGGTGGTGTCTGGTCGCTGCAGATCCAAGGGACCGCGAAGTACGGAAGCATGCTCTATGGTGAGCACATTGCAGGAGATTTGCCCTCTTGAAAATCTTCTAAAAATTTTCTGGGAGTTGGAAAATGTTCCAAATGCGTCTATAGAAAGACTGTATACCCCCGAAGCATCTATGTGTGAAAAATCTTTTATTGACACTATAACACGATTACCCTCCGGTCGATTGCAAGTTTCTTTGCCATTCAAGTCAAGCCCGACATCTCTCGGTTCGTCGTTTGAGACAGTCAGAAGATGATTTTTGTCTTTAAAAAGGCGATTATGCCAAAAACCTGCCGTAAAGTCAATGTTTATGGAGTTTATGGAGGAATACCTGTCGCTAGGCCACATGACTGCAATTGAAAATTTAATCCCGGTAGAGCCGCATTGTTTCATACCGTTTCAATGTGTGGAACGACCTCAAAGCACATCAACTAAGCTAAGAGTGGTATTCAATGCGTCGTGCAAAACTACGAGCCAAGTCGCGCTCAATGATTTACTCATGGTTGGAGCAACCATCCAGCCGTGCCACGTTGCTGAGGTTTCGTTGTCGCAAATTCGCTCTTACAGCAGACATTACAAAAAAGTACCGTCAAATCCAAGATGACGAGGCGCAGCGAAAATTCCAGTTAATTATGTGGAGACGGACAAATTCAGACCCTTAGCAAGTGTTCCGTCTCAATACGGTAACTTATGGCACTGCCAGTGCACCGTTTTGGGCTGT